GACTCACGTTAATCCAATCCGGTCAAATCCATCCCTACGTGCATGAACAACGAAGCTTTTGGGTCGTGACAAGCGACGGAAGAGCTGTTGCGTAAAGCAGGTCGGGCAAGCAACTTCGAGAATGTCGAAAACCAGCGCATGTTCCTGTGCTAATTACTAATCAGCAGCAGAAGAAGAAGTAGAAGAAGGAAGCAGCAGCTTAGGACACAAGTCGTTCCAATGATTCGCTGTCCTCGAAAGTCATCGTCGAGTACGCATTCCAAAAGCCGGGGTCAAATCATGACCCCCAGGGGAAGAAGAAGAAAAAGGAGAAAAGAAAAGCTAATCGTCTTTAATTAAAGTAAGAGAAATGCTAATGCTTGATTAAGGGTTTGGTTGTGTCGTTAATTACGTGCGCTTTTTGTTCTTGTCGCGTGCAAGTGCGAAGAAGCTCTGGACAAGAGAAAAGGTGAGGGGGCGGGGTGGGTTAGTGGAAACTTTTTTTCTCGTGGCTCCTTTTTAGGGTTTTTGATTAGATGACCAAACCCTTTGCCTTTTCTCACGTGGAGGGGAAAGGAGGGCGATGGCTAATGCTGTTCTTCTTTGGATTGACATCGTAATTAGGCGATTCACACCCGGGTTTAGGGGAACTAATCGCCCCGGGAAAATTGCCCGTACAGCCATGAAACGATTGCAATCTTGCCAATTCAAGTACTGAACCTTTCGATTTTGCCAATTAAGTACTAAACATTTTCACGTTTTGCCAATTGAATCCATCCAGACAATTTTAATTGGAAATTGTTGATGTGGATGCCGATAGTGCCAGCATAGACGGTCGGGTGCTGAGTGGACGATTTTTAATAATATTTTTACTTTTTTCTTTTCTTTTTCCTGTTTTTGGCGAGGGCCGCCCTCACCTGCGACCGGCAAAGGTCGGCTGGCCCTTGCTTGTGCCCTTAATAACCCCCATTAAAGAAAAATTGCCGCACTATATTTCTTACCGTGGTTATTTTTTCAGCTAAACTAATTTTTGCACGTTTAGCCTGTTAAAGTGATGAAATGAAAAAGGGGTCTCTTGAGATCCTTCGATGTAACTTAGGTCGGCATAATTAGAATATTCTAACGTGTAAGTTGGTCCGGCGACATTATCCTCATGGTGACCGTGCACGTTTTGCCTATGGACCCGGAATTTCATGCAATCGAAACAATAGTAGAGATTGTCCGAAAATCGAACCTCCCGTCGTGTGGACGAATTTATCTTTATTTGACTTCGGAAGGTTAGTTTGGCATACGAGCCAAGTTCGAGCCCTCGCCAGAGGCCGCGACATCCTCGCCTGTGGTTGGTCGCCGACTGCACAGTTCAAAGGAAAAAAAAAAGGAGAAATTTTATAAAAAAACTAATAAAAAATTCCAACAATTTTTAATTAAAAAAATTATCCATGTCAATACCGGCCGTACCACATAAAATCATGTCAGCAATTTCTAGCTTAAATTGGCCATACGGACTGAATTAGTACCAATGTGAAAATGATGGTCAAGTCGAAAAATTTAAGACTGAATTAATACTGATGCAATAAGTTTTAAATTTTTTTTTTTGTACTTTTCCCCTTCGGTCGCGACATTATTAAAAAGTTAGAGAGCGATTTATTTTCAATCAGATTCACCATCGGCAAAGAAAAAACTCGAATTAGCATGATAATCGAATCTCGACACGGGACGACGATCTGTCATTCTTCCGAGAAAAAAATCATTAAAATATTAATTTTATGCGGGATTTGATCCTCGACACCGACCCGCCCCAACGAGCGGAACAATGTTCTTGTCGCGCGTCTTTCCAACGTTGGAGTTTTCGCTTTACTCGTTTGGACGGATCAATCTAATCCAAAATTCACCTAAAAAAAGCTCCATGAAAAAAAAATGAAAAAGACCCTTGCCTAAGCTCAATTTTAAAAAAGATATATAATTTTCCGCCGCCTAAAAAGCTTCGTGGAATCCACATTTGGCACTCGACTGAAACAATGCCATTAATAATCAGACATTATAATAAAGATTAGCAACTGATTATGTGCTTAATTTAGGCAAATATTGTGCATATGCTAAAGCGGCAAATGAACAGTGCCAACGTGACCGGTCCGCGGAGGGGGGCTCCACGGAGAAAACTCGACTATGTAAATAAGTCCTCTTTTTTTTAAATTAAAACAAAGGTTAATATCACGAAAAGCACGCACGTGATAACCACAAAAAACCCCAGACTAATATACTTACAAAAAAGAATCTGAAACTGGTACATTTGTGACAAATTAACTCTCAATTAAAATAGATGAATACCATGAAAAATCCCAAACTGATAAATCCGTGATAAACGGAGGGGTAAAATCTCAAACCGAAAACTGACGGAGGGTAAATTTATCACATGTGTACTAATTTAGGATTTTTCATGGTATTAATCCTTAAAGAAAGGGTAAATATTGACTCTGTTCTTCTTCTTCCTTTTTTTTTTTTTGCCAAAAAGGACAGATATTAGTAGGTATTAACATTTTTGGTAGTGAGCAGTGACTTCACAAAAGTTTCTAGTCCTTCGTGTGTGATTTGGCACTTTGCATTGATTAGTCTAGAAATCCTGTAAACTTTAGGACGCGTGTTTGTGTACGGAAAAACTTCTTAACGAAGGAAAGTGTATCGAGTGAAAATCATCTTAGAAGAAAATGACTGGTTTTCGGTTGTTTGATGGTGCGCTTGAAAGTAAGAGAAAAGAGTTTTTGGATCGTACTATCAAAAACTATTCTCTAATATCATGATTATATATTTATTCCTAATGTAGGATTCAAAGAGATATCGAAATCCTTGTTTCGGATATTCCTGAAATATGGAGTATGAATTTTAATTTTTATAATCAAAACAAAGCAACCTAAAAAAGAGGATGTCGGGAAAAAAATCCAAATTATTAGCAGATCTAATCTCTCATAAAACTATACGTGCCGCGTGGGCATGCGTGTGGAAAGAAGCTTGGGAAAACGATTTCTTCTTTGTAGGACGAAGAAATCATGCTCCTCAATTTTAATTGGCTCTTGTTTTTATCGGTCGTAAAGCCAGTTCTGTTGATTATCCACTTCGAGTGAACCAACACACATTTAATTTTGGGAAATCGTTCTATGAAAATGGTTGTTGTAAAAACGGACAAACCCTCAATTTAGTGGGTAAAAACCGACTTTAATGGTACTATTATAGCATGATAGGATATTCCTTTAATTCGAGCATCGGACTAATTTCCACGAACGCGCGCAAATTTCTTGTCCCACCAAAAGACGAAAAAGGCCAAGGGAATGCCTCGATTTCTCAATAAATCCACGAAGCAAATGGCAAATCGGATCTGCCATTTGAAGGAAATTGTTGCGAACGTTTGTTCCTATGACGGGGTTATTGAGTAGCAAACGAAAACGGCGTCGCCTGATGGATCCGACGGAACCAAATGCAAACCGAGCGAAGGGGCTTTTACGTAATTGCGGCATGACCTGGATTTCATCACGGTCTCGCTTGTTATAAATGTAATAGCATCGATAGTAAGACTGTAAAGCTCAATAAAACAAAAAAAAAATCCGATTTTTAGAAAAAAACAATAGCTTTTTTTCTTGTGCTTTTGCATTATTGCTTGTTCATACTTCGTAGTCATGGATTAGAAAGGCAGAAGTGTTTTTATTACATGATTATAATGGCACCCGCAATATTTTGTCACCCACGATACGAGTTGACTAAGTTTAAGTTATAAGATAAATTTAAATTACCGTTGAATTTAAAATTACTGTAAATTCAAAATGTGTTGCAGATTTAACGAATAAAAAGACAAGCACGACTTATGTACATTAATCGGTATTTTTGTCCATTATGTTTTTTCCCACGGAAGTATAATTTGGGCCCGATTTGGGTTCAGAGATAGAGCCAGGGAATCGAGAAGAGACGGGTATTTTTATCGCGACACATCGACAAATCGACAGAAGAGTCCGATACGAATTTTTCCACGAATAACTCCGGGGGGGGAGGGAGAGATATTAATCGCACCCACATCTATTTTAGTAACCCGTAAATCTTTTGGGCATCTGATCTGAGTAAGGGGATTTTATTTTTTTTTCCCTTCAATCAGCTAATTAATAAAAAAATAAATAAATTAATTAATCCACATCAAATCGAAGCCATAAATAAGGGGGTAGCGGGATTCTCCTACCCATGTTGACTCCGACGTGCTCTCCATGTTACCCATCGACGTCACCGATCTCCACGAGTCAAAAAAGCGCGTGAGAAAGAGAGGGAAAAAGGAAATAAAAAAGCCAAAAAAAAAAAGGAGGGGAAAAAGGGAAAGGAAAATCGCCTCTTCTTTTTTTTTTTCCTTTTATTTACTTACTTACTTACTTACTTTTTTTTTTCGAGTTATTTAATTTATTTCCCCCCCGTAATTTGGGCAATGGAGAGAGAGACACCCCGGGAACGGGGTTGCTTTTCCGGGTAAATAATCTCGGCCCCCCCCCCCCCTCGGAAAATTAATTGCCTCAATAAGCTGCGGAGACGCAGGAAGGAAAGTGACGCCCATCCGGGGCAAATTGAAGTCGGAATGAAATTGAAATTCGCCCCAAATTCAAATTCAGTCTCCTCCTCAGCAGAGCGCTCTCTCTCTCTCTCTCTCTCTCTCTCACTAAATTCACGCGGAGGAGGACTACTCCCCCCTTAAGTCATGATGTCCGTGTAATAGTACCGCTACTAGTTATGTACTCTCCCCACCCCCTCATCGTCTCCTCTCCCTTCCATATGTAGAGAGAGAAAGCGCGCCCCCCCCCGCAGGCGGAGATAGAGAGAGAGAGCTTCCCTCCTCTGTAGCCTCCTCCTCCTCCTCCTTCGCCATTTCCGCCGCCGGAGGTGACCCCGCAATCCGGCGCCGGAAGGAGATCGCCGCCCCCCTCCCCCCTCGGTGGGTGTGGGGAGAGGGAGAGGGAGAGGGATTCGTTGGATTTTGCTGACGCCGCGCGCGTCTTCCGGCTACGGGCGCTCTGCCGGCGACGGCCGGGGGTGGAGCCGCGAGGTAAAGTGGAATGCTCATCTGGGTCGCTCTCGGCGAGGCGATTGTTGTTTTTCTTTTCGGGCTGCAGTTTTTGGTTTTGTGTTCTTTCGCTGTTCGTTTCGTTTTGACTCGTTCGGCAGTTGATTGTGAGTCTGATTCGTCCTGGTTCTTTTCTGGGTCGGTTTTTGATGATAGGTGAGGTGAATCGAAGTCGGAATTCTGTCGTTTAGAGCTGTTCTTGGGAAGTGATTCGGAGGTTTCGACAAGGGCATTGCAGAGAGAGAGAGAGAGAGAGAGAGAGTTGGTTTTTGGTGAGGGGGAAAAGTATGGGTGATGCTGAAGATTCTCGAAACGATACATCGCGAGGGCTTCACTCTTCGTTCGGGACTCTGCAATCTTCAATCTCCAAGCAAGCATTCTCCATGAACCAGCTCGACATACCGCACCTGAGTGCTCCGGACATGCGCACGCCTATGCGGCAATTCGCGCAGAGCTTCGGCGGCGACAGTAGCAAGAGGGTGGGTATACCGCCTTCGCATCCGAACCAGATCCCTCCGATTTCGCCGTATTCCCAGATCCCAATGCCGCGGCCTCTGAACCAGCAGATGGGTTCTCCGAACTTTTGCCACGGGCCGACTCACTCGAGGTCCCTGTCGCAGCCGTCGATTTTCAATTTCGACACTCTGCCCCCGTTGAGCCCGTCTCCTTTCCGGGACTCCCCGTCGACCTCAATCTCGGACCATGTTTCGGGCGATGTCTTGATGGAGGATCGAGATGCGAATTCGCATCCTTTATTGCCGCCCTCTCCGTTTGCCAGGGGAAATCCTTCGCGGATTGGCGAGAGTCTGCCGCCGCGCAAGGCACATAGACGGTCTAATAGCGACATTCCATTTTTATCGTCACTTATGCAATCATCCCCACCTCTTATACCGTCGAAAGGATTGGGTATGTTGGAGCGCTCGGTATCTGGGAGGGAGAGTATGAGTTCAGCTAAGCCGGCTCAGCTGGTTAAAAAGGAATCTAGCTGGGACAGAGGTGTTTACAACAATGCAGAAGGCATGGGTGAGCGAAAGTCTGAAGGGGAAGTCGTGGATGACTTGTTCTCTGCTTATATGAATCTGGACGGAATCGATGCGCTGAACTCTTCTGGGACTGATGAGAAAAACGGTACTGAAACTCGTGATGATTTGGATAGTAGAGCAAGTGGGACAAAGACGAATGGAGGCGACAGCAGTGATAACGAAGCAGAGAGCAGCGTGAATGAATGTGGGAATAGCATGCAGAGACTTGGAATGAATTCTTCAAGTGACAAGAGGGAGGGAATCAAAAGGACTGCCGGAGGAGATATTGCTCCAGCTTCCAGGCACTACAGGAGTGTTTCCATGGATAGTTTTATGGGGAAGCTGAATTTCGCTGACGAGTCAACAAAATTGCCTCCTTCTCCTGGAGTTCGGCCTGGACAGCTCTCCCCCCAAAATTCAGTTGATGCAAATTCTAATACTTTCAGCTTGGAGTTTGGGAATGGGGAATTTAGTGGGGCAGAATTGAAGAAGATTATGGCAAATGACAAACTTGCTGAGATTGCCCTAACCGATCCAAAGCGTGTGAAAAGGTGTGGCATACCCGTACTTTAATCAAGGCGCAACCGAAACTAATTATTGGCCTAGAAAGTTGGGTGTTTTTTTTTTTTCCTCGCATTTAACGACTAAAATATTTACCTGTTCAGGATACTAGCGAATCGCCAATCAGCTGCACGCTCGAAAGAACGAAAGATGAGGTATATTCAGGAGTTGGAGCACAAGGTTCAGACTCTACAAACGGAAGCCACAACATTGTCTGCACAGCTTACGCTCCTACAGGTAAAAAGTTTTCGCTTTCTCCAGCAACAGTTTACTCTTCCAGTGGTTATTGTCGACTTAAACTGATGTTGTGATACCTGTTTTTCATCCAGCGAGACTCTGTTGGGCTTACCAACCAAAATAATGAGTTGAAATTTCGTCTTCAAGCCATGGAACAACAGGCTCAACTACGTGATGGTATGAGATGCAGTTTGAGTTTTGACATTGTGTTTGACATTCTGTGATCAGTTTGGTGTATATCTCCTGATGCAATATATGTTGGAAAATGGTAATGGTATCAAAATTAGTACACTCATAATAACTCCTGGGACCAACTTAAAACGTTCCCAAACATGCTTATCTTGTGGAAAGTAGAGGATTTAGCTGCTTGCTTTCCTTTCACCCTTCTCATCATCTCATGGGCTGTCGATGTTGAACAAGCCCAAAGTTTTAGTATGTTACTCTTTCATTCTTAGTGTGGTTTGTCGAATATACTGAGGTTGAATTTTTTTAAGGGGTTGACTGCGTTCAGTTTGTATCTTCTTTAACCGAAATTTGATGCATTAAAGGGGAAGTACTTATAAAGAGGAACCGTTGATACATTAGAATAGGATGGTTGGATGGCTATTGGTTTGTTGAACTGCCTGTTTGATTGTCCTGGCAAAAGTATGAAGTAGTAGAGTAGCCCGTCGGAATAGAATTACACGCTAAGTTGGTAGCTCCTTCAGTTCTATTCCCACATAAGTTCGTATCTCTGACTTCCTGGTGTAGGCATGCATGTACATGACTATGTTTAATGTGCGGTAGGGTGTGCTACCAGTACGTGGATCATTATTTCTGAGTCTATCTTCCTTTCCTATAAACTGCATTTGACTTCCTGGTGTAAACATGAATGTACATGAATAAGTTTAATGTTTTTCTTTTCCTAGTTTCTTGTTTTGATTTGTGGCAATGTACTATATGGCATCATCATCATTTTCCAGCACTCTCGTGAAATCTTTTAATTGATGTTGTACATGTTGGAAGCTACCATGCCCCAAATCTTAACTTACGCTGAGAGTAGAAATCTACTGTGGAAGTCTATATTATAGCGATTGTCATACTACATCGAAAGAGCTCTAACTTAGTTCTGATGGCATGCGACAGCCCTGAATGAAGCATTAACTGCTGAGGTGCAACGATTGAAGCTCGCAACAGCAGAGCTGAGCTCGGAATCTCATCCTTCAAAGTGCATGGTTTCACAGCTTCCTGTGAACTCCCAAATGTACCAGATCCATCAGATGCAACAGCAACAGCAACAGCAACAGCAGCAGCCTCAATCGCAGCAGCAAAATGGCAACACAACCACAAAGTCGGAGTCGAATCAATAGGATGCGGGTGGTCCAGCAACTCCGGCGCCTCAACAAATCTCACTTGTCTCGGTTCTCTTCGACATCCAGCAGTAGCTTCTCTAGTGCATCCATTCATTCATTAGTTTTTGCATATGCAAACCCAAGTCTTTTGCATGGTATTGTTATACATCTATATATCGCTCCATTCGCATTGCATCTGTAGTTCTGATCTAAGGTATGAAGTCATATATACTTATATACAGGCTGTAATATCTAAGTTTATGTCCACAAGCATTCATTTTTTTTTCTTTTCCGGTTTTGTTTCAATGGAGATACCTGTGTCAGAATATAAGCACTGGGTAGACATGATTTGATTTGTTGCTTTGGAAGAGTTAAAAGCTCGACTCTTTCGCCCTGCATAAATATATGTTCTTGTAATTTCGACATTTTTACGGTGTCATCATCGTCTTCTTGCTCGCTTTGCTTTGTGGCGAATGGGTTTCTTACCCAAGTCGCAAGATGCCCACCCATGCTTTCCCTACTTTTGGCCTAAATCTTGGGAAGGAGCTTTCGTTTTTCTCTGGTTCTGGTCAACAATGGACGCATGAAAAGGCGAGACTAAAGTCTAATTACGTGCTGAAATTATGGAGAGTTATGGCGATCACTACGTATGTTGGGTGGGTGGCGGGCCGATGGTGTCAGACCGTGGGGACAACACCCCATCACGATGGGACGTCGCCATTCATTACCCATCAATTATTCAGAAAGTTGCCCATGATGTTCCTAAAAGGATCGTCTACGTGGGTATCGTATCGGAATCATTGGTTGGAAATTTTGTTCCCTCTGCATAAATTCGTGAACTGCCTTGGTGCCATCTCTTTTTGTTCCCGCTCCGATCGACTACGTGGGGTACGCTAGGGCGCGATTTTCTTAAAAGTCCAAATGCTATAGTTGGGATGACAAAAGTAGGAGTTCCAGATTTGGCAGGATTAAATAAAGACCAAACACGATGTCGTTAGGACGACGAAAGTGAAAACTTCAGAAGGTGTCCGACAATTTCTGACAAATTGTGATATAATTAAGTAGGGTGGTCACGAAGTGTTTAGTCGTGGGAGGCGTGTAAACTTTAGATTTAAGGTTGCAAGTTGCCACCTTATAAAATAAGTGTGAGAGGTTTTCGACCTAAAAAAAATGAGTGTGAGGGGTTGAGAGAGAGGCGGTGGTGGTGGTGGTGATGGAGTTTTAGTGGTGGTACTCGAGTGCGGTGGTGAGAGCGGGTGATGGAGTCGTTCGAGTCCAATGGCAGTGGACCCTAGAAGGCACTGAGAAAGCGATATGTCTGAAAATCATTGACTTCTCTTATTCGATTGTTTAACGAGTTTCGTGACAAATTTATAATTCTTTATGCGTTCTTAAATCCATGTAGCTATCTGAAATGCCCTATTGAATTAAGGAAAAAATTGAAGTGATCTAGACCGGGGATGGCTGTATTCTTTACTGAAGGTATGGAAAGACCGAGCCCGTGGTTTGTAAGTACAAAATATTTTTTTTTATCACGAGTAGTTGCATTTTCGCATGATATTACAGTCCTTTTTCAAGGTTTTTTTTTTTATATTACTTTTGCTTAAAAATGTGCTGATGCGTATCTACATCTGTCAGAATCTAACTATCAAACAAGATCATGAGGAAAATGGAAACAGTCCCCGCAACTGCATGGGGATTTGCGTGAGGTGGAAGACAAAAATCGGACCCCGGCCCACTATCACAATTTCATCAAAACGGAATAATGTCTAAAGTTTGAATACAAAAATCTGACGTTGTAAATCTATTACTGTCCATATTTTGTCAGCTAATAAAAGATGAAGTATTTTTCAAGCGCTTATGGATTCCAAAATTAATGAGCTAGTTGGCATAATGATTTCCTTTCGCAAAGTTATGTCGTACTTTGAACTCAAAGTGATAGCTCTTTTGAAATCTTTAAGTAAAGTAGAGCCAACATTATCAATGATAATTATTTGACTAGCAAAGTCAGTGACAACTTTAGAGTCAATTTCAGCGATGATCTCCAAGCTATTTTGCAAAGTTGAGTCTCAACCGCAATGTCCAAAGTTCTTCTTGTGTTGACGAACATATCAAACCACCAAGCCAATCACCCTATCCGTTTTTTAATAAACCCCTTAGCTTAAAAGTGGAGGATCCCATTTCACCAAAATCGAAGAAGTGTGTGATCTACTTAACGTCGAGTTATTCACAAACAAAGCATTGATGATTTCCTCTGTGTATGACCGAATTACTTGTATTGGATTTGAAGGGAAAACGATGTAGTCTTGGAAAAGTTACTTAAAGCTACGCACTTACTCCATCGACGAGGGCTTGGCCACATTTGCTGATTGTGGGTCTTTTTTTTTATTTATTTAACCTCGAGTTTTTCTCTAATTTAATTTATATTTTTTAAATCTTTTTTAGGAGTGGCACTTGTTGGATGCCACATCATCGCCACGTGTCTTAAGAAAAGTAATTAAACAAGACACGTCAGCGCCACGTCAGTATTTTCTGTTAGTAAGTTAAATAGTATTTGCTTTAGAACTTATTTGAATCAATTTGATAACTTTTAAGACTTGATTGTATTTTTTGCAAGTTTTATGGCTCAATTACACTTTCATGATAAATTTTAGGATTTCTAGTGCACATATCTCTTAATAAAATCTATATTTTTTAAGAAGATCCACGAAATGTGTAATGGGCCGATGCACCTCTACGCAAGAATATTTGCCCCCGGCTAGTCAAATCCAACCGTCCCGCAGTCAACGATCCACGTTTAAGGCCCATGGACTCGACCGCACCTGATCACCAGTCCCAAAATCTAGGGCTAACAGCGAGCGCGCCGTTCTCTCCAACGCGCACGCGCAGTCGCTTCTCCTCGATCTCGTCCGATCACCATCCGCGTCCGGCGAGCAGCGACGTCATCGCAGCAATGGCTCCGCCTCCTGGACCTTATTCCGGCACCAGCACTCTCGCTCTTGTAAGTCTTCTCTCTCGTTCGCTCGCCGTGTCTCCGGATCGCGCGACGACGGCGCGTGATTCGATGTTTCTAGATCTCGACGAGTTTTTAGCATTCGTTTAGCTTCGATAGGATCCGTGATTGATGAATCCTAGCTTGAATCTGGTTTCTGTTTCTTTTTGGGTGGATTTGGATGGCGACAGGTCGCCCGTGTCTCGGCTTTCACCTTCGGGGTCGTGTACGGGAACATGAAGCTCAAGTATCTGAAGGTACTGTGATCCTGTCTGATTTTTCGAACGCCGCGTTACAATTTGCGAATCTGTGGTGGTCTGGTGAAGTTTCCGTAAGTTTTTAGGGGATTGGTTCTTGTTTTGTGTCATTGCACTTTTGCGTACAGGAGGACGTGCAAATGAGCGCGTAACGATCGTCGGAAAGAGATAATATAGGTGAATTTGACTGTTGGAATGGCGTGATTGTGTTGAGCTTCGACTCTGAATTGCTACTTAAGAAGGTTGTGATTGCATTCATCTGCTTGAGCGTCTTGTTTGTTGAATCTGTGGAGAGTTTTGTAGCATACGGGAGCCGATTCCGGGTGTTGGGAAAATGGTTCTTATTGTTGAGTAATAGCAATATGTTATATGCTTCCAGCTTCCGCCTATTTCTTTCGGTATAGATGAAATGAGGAAAAGAGGATTCTCTTGTTGCAAATGCAACTTTTTCACGATGAATCCATGTTTGCTTTTTGGAAGGATAGAAGGAATTTAGGATTTAGTTTTCAACTTGAAATATTTAATGGCAAAGCAATGTGGGAAAATTGATATGAGCTTCGGTCCATGTGATTATTGTGGTGGTGCATCTGTATCCCGGTTGCGTGGTTCTTCTTTGCAAGTACAAAAGCGAGACACTGACCTTGCCCATCGAGATTTATATCATTGATGCGCACGTTACTTAACATTAATTACTTGATAAAGTCAGCACTAGTGTGGCATCGGAAGTGGGATGCTTTCTGCCACCATAAATACTTTGCTGCACCCATTATTGGCTTGTCGTGTGTTTTGTGCACGCTCATTTGTGGTTTAAAGTGGCGTTTGTGTGCATGTGGGAGGCATCTTTATCCACTCGTGTGCTTGCAAGTTGTAAGGGTGTCTCTGCGAAAGCTTATTCATATAAGTTGGGCAGTCCCTTGTCTTATGAAACGCTCGAGGCATAGCCTTCACCTTTCAAGTTTTTCTTCTCACGCATATTTAACATACGACTGTTGAGGCAGAATGTTACTGATGATTAGAATTGCTTTGTCAGATTTAGCCTCTCGTATAGCTGATAGCAGATCTAGTTCGGTTAGACATGGGGCTGTATATATGCTCGAGTTGCTTGATTACTTGCCCTGCGATGCTTTTAATACTATCCCTTTTTCTTATCTATATTACTGTACATTCCATATGCCAGCACTTACACGAGGAAGAAGTGGAAAAGAGCATGTAGGGGCAGTATGAAAATGTACCTTAAACCACAGGAATACCACTGTCTCAGCTGTGTTTATTTAGGCTGAGAGTTGATGCTGGATAGTAAATATACAATACGTTTAAAAAGTGTCGGATGCATATGCTTACTTATCAAAGGTATCATCCAATGGCATGACTATATTTTGTGCCTTTACAATGCTGTTTCGGTGTTGCCGACATTGATGAGGTATTGTTTAGAGTGCACTAAGTAAGCAGCAAGCTGTCATACCTGCCACTGGATGAATTGAGAAATTGCGCTAACTACTAGACAACTTCAAAAAGCTCATTGTATCCTTGTGTCTTACCAGGCAAAGGCGAACTCTCAAAGAAAAGCTGAAGCGAAGGCTCATCACTGAAGAGTCAGGTTTTTGTTTTGTGTTGTGGATTAGCAAGAGTCACAATAATGGATTGGTAGAATCTCACCAGCTTCACTTGGCATAGATATCTTTGGGCTGTTTCCAAATGCTGTAGATCTTTATTCTTTTTTTATATTTGAGAATCACTGGATCTGGTCATCGCCATTTGATGGCAATGGGCAACATCAGAATTTTTTCACTGGTTTTCTCATACTTTCTCCTGAGAAAATAATTCTCCTTGGTCATTAATCTCATCTTTGACGACTGTCTTTTCACCTCAGTTTTGGCTTTTGTTTAGCTATCACTTGTGTGCTTCTTAGCAAAACATATGGTGAGTAGTCATCGAAATGCTTTTATTGCGGTACGCCCATGCACCTAGCCGATGTTCTTTTGGTTCCTGAAAGGTACTGATTATTGGAGGAACCTACACCAATCGGCGAGCATCCTGTTAAGTTCGCTATGAAAGGCCCGCGTCTTCTGGACATTGTTGGTCAGACTTTAAGCTCGAATTACGGCTATTTCAATCAAATTCAGTGGGTGAGGGGTACGACTCCTGTCTCTTTCTTCTCTGCCTTTTCAACTTATGGAGTTCTACATCAGATTTTCTTGCGTTAATCAGCATTTTAAACCTTTTAGAGAACATACAATTAAGTAGGCCCAATTCCCTAAAAACCCCAACTTTACCCTTTATCCCAATTATATCCCAAACTTTTTTTTGTCTTATAAAAAACCTCAAACTTTACTTTTGTCCCAAATCTACCCAATTCACTTTTCGTCCAATTTTTAATATTATTTTTATTTTTCGAATTTTTTTATTTTTCTTTTCTTTTCTTTTTCCTTTCCTTTTCTTTTTTTTTTGTTTCACCTTCTGCTGCCAGTGGTCGCGACCGCGCAGGCTGCCTGCAGAAAGCGGCGAGGTCGGCCCCCGCAATGGCGGGACCTCGCCAATAGCCGGCGGGGCCGAGCCTCGCCCGATGGCCGGTGGAGGCCCCTGCCAGTCGGCGTGAGGCCGGCCTCGCAGCTTGCGGCGGGCCGACTCGCCCGGGAGGCGAGGGCCGAGCCTCGCCAATAAGCGCTGAGGCTCGGCCTCGCCCGGCGGCCGGCGTGGGAGTTCTCGCCCGAGATCGGCGAGGCTCGGCCCCGCCAAGCTGAAGTCGGCCTCGCCCGGCAACTGGCGAGTTCGGCCTCGGCCGACCTCGCAGTTCTTAGGCGGCGGCCGAGCCTCGCCAGTGCGGCGGCGAGCCTCGCGGGCCAGTCGCCGCAGCCACTGCGGCGAGGCCTCGCCAATAGCCGGTGGGCGGGCCTCGCCGTGGTGGCGAGGTCGGCCCGCCGCTAACTAGCGAGATCGGCCTCGCCCATCCATCTGCGAGCCGAGCCTCGCCGCCACAGCGAGGCTCGGCCTCGCCCGGAAGAACAGTAGAGCCTCGCCGCCACGGCGAGGCTCGGCCTCGCCCAGCGCGGCGGCCGAGCCTCGCCCGCTCAGGCCCCGCCTCGCCGGCTCGGCAGGTCCAGGCCCAAAGGTGAAACAAAAAAAAGAAAAGGAAAGGAAAAAAAAAGAAAAAAAAAAAAAAATTCGAAAAAATAAAAATAAAATTAAAAAATCGGACGAAAAGTGAATGGTAGATTTGACAAAGAAAAGTTTGAGGTGTTTGGATATAATTGGGACACAGAAGTTGGTTGAATAAAAGTAAGTAGCAGCAAATTGCAAAGTGTGGTGCGTTAGGCCCATTAGTCTGTACGAGGACATGTCTTCATTCTTGACCAAGAAACAGGCCCGGTCATAACCCGATAAGCCCAAAAGCATCATAACCCAGGAGACGTCTCGATGCTTGAGCAGAAAACGAAATTGTACGATCATCATGAAATTGTAGTACTACACTCTACACGTCCATCTTTTTTCGAGAGAGTTGAGTTCTTCTTTGTTTAATCTGCCAATGGGGACCCTTCTCAGCTTCACGTCTCTCTCTCTCGCATGCAACGTCTTGTTTAATCGGCATGAATGAAGTTAGTGGGACTAATCAATTCCTCTCTCTAAATAATCTTGATTGATGATCGATCGGTGGGACACGTGGCCAACAGGTTTCTCCCATTGTTTGCGATGTCCAGTTGATCTTGACATATTGATCTTCGTTTCTCATTTTGTTCATGAAACGTCTTTCGAAGATTGCGTATAGGGAAGTTTCTGTGGGTGGAGCTGATTCACTCGTTGACCCTCGAATCATTATACCGTATAATTCAATTAATCTACTCTGATGATTACTTTCTCTATATCATAAAGTAAAGCCCGAAATACGAAATATAAGCGTGTTTAACCCACATACCTAAAGAGTGGTGATAGGTTTGATTTGGGATGATTGGTTCCACGGTGGGTAGATACGTACAATTATAAACGATAAAATGTTCAAAACACGTAACATAAAACATAAATTATGAAACTTCATTCCTTATTCATCCATAAAAATATTGCTCCAAATTCTAACCATCTAAAAATAAAACTAACAAAATACTGAATCACTTAACGATAGTTTAAGTGAGGGAGAGTCGAGAATGAGCGAGGGTTGTGAGGCTCGAACGAGCAACGGCGAGCCGTAAGTGAGCGAGGAGGAGGGTGAGTTGCGAGGATGAGAGAGAGAGAGTCGTGAAATGTTTGAGTGAGATATAAGTCTTGGAGAGAACAAAGAAAAAGAGAGAGATAGAGAAAAATTATGGTTTTTAAACTTTATGAAGTTGGTTCCAAAACCAGTTCAATTGGTCTGGTTTCTGGGTGGTTCTTCACTTAGAACTGGGAACCAGATCAGTTCCCACCGGTTCCAACGGGAACCTAAAGTCAGACCGGTTTTCAGAGCAGTTCGGTCCGATTCTTGGGTTGAACCACTTCGGTTGCATAGCCTCAGGTCTAATGGCGAACAAAAGTGCGTCGCAATGCAGAACCATACTCGAGAAAGCAGTTCGAAAAATGATGAGAAATCGGGAGGCAAAAAATCTAATAAAATTTGGCAACAAAAGAACGAGAGTGAAAAAGTAAAGATGGGGAAAGGAGATGCAAGAACACGCGAGGAGATACAAGAATACGCAATAAAAGGAAAACCAGTAAATCCGATTCATCAATCAAAATTTCTAAAATTGTTGTCATAGCCTATAAGCAACTCGAACTAGAGTTACACTACAAAACTAAACGAAACATACATCAATATGGCTATCATCAAAACCTCAAATAGTTTTGTCCATCTTAAATCTAGTAAACCAATAAAAACAGTTCATTTTTCCGGTACGGTTAAAAGTACTTCGAAGGCATTGATTTAACGAGACCCGTTTTACAATAAAGTAAGGTCACTCTCGACAAGCATCTTCTCAATCATGCGTTTATCTCTATGGATCTTTGACTTATAAATCTTGGATCCAAGTGATTGAGGAAAGTGATCGCCTCATCTAACAAATTAATTAGGTGGGTCCAGCATATATTCCCCTCAATCTTACACAGTATTAGCTTAACTGTAATCAGGATTACCTTAACGTTTCATAAAGGTCTTGGTGGGGTGGGGTGGGGGGACAAGAGATCATGGCTTTTAGAGAATACTTATCCCATAACGAAAAAAAGAAAACTCACTGATGAACCTGTCCATTTCAGCTTCAGCTTTTGGCCCTTTGTTAATTATCACGTGTGAATTCGTGATTAGCCGGGTGGTTAAGACAAGCAATTCTTTCATGCGGAATCTCAACCGTGACAGCTGTTTTCTTGTAGAATTACATTTTTGGCAAAGTAAAATTGAGAGTTCTTTTCATAGTATGGCCAATGAAAAGTGGGAAATTTTTAGGGGGAAAATGACAAAAAAAGTCATTAACATTTCGTAACGGTGCTAATTCAGTCATAAACCTTTCTTTGATCAATTGAGTCATAAAACTTTTTGCATTTTTGCCAGTTCAATCCATTCGGTCAATTTTGACAAGAAATCGTTGACATTCATGTCAGTGAAAGGTTTATGACTTAATTGGCAAAAAAGAAAGGTTTACGACTGAATTGACGCAATTACAATAAGTTTAGGACTTTTTAAATAATTCTCCCGATTTTTAGGTTGACCATTTAATGGCAATTTTTTGGTTGTTGGTTTATGCTGTATTTATGACGTAGGTATATAGCGATATACTGTATATGTGTGTTCAGGTGTTTGATAATTTCAAAGAAACCGGTGATGATTTTTGGATGCGGGGCTGATTTCGAACTAGAGTGAAAGTTGGTGAATTTTTTTAAGACAAAAGTAAGTTCGGGGCATTAAAATTGAACCTAAAGTTGGGAGTTCTTTGGATAATTAGGTGCGATACATCATATCGCTCTACTATAATTCGGCGATCGGAAGTAATTAAGGATGGCGATCCACTCGTTTCTCGTATCGCTCTACTATTTTTCCGGTGATAAACAAAACTCGGTAATCTGAATTTTATCTGGTCAACCAGATAGCGTTGGCGACACCATCCAAGGTTTGTGGATCATGGTGTTATCGTTTTAGACGGAGGCGGAGAGAATCAGATCGTATCTTTACTTTGCTAATTACTCGCCCGACACGATCCACAACTTCCCCCTTCGTCTCCCAAATCTGGTCAGCTTTGATAGATCGATTATAATTTTATCTATTTATCTATATATATAAAGAAAGAAGTGATTTTCATGCATTCAAATTCGTCCATGAATTTTTTTTTCGTGCTTACCCTTTATGGGAAAACTCGGTTCTAGTGTGGATCTAATGCCTTTTAGTATGGTAAAATGCAAACGCGAATCTTGCAAGATTGAAAATGGGACAAGAAAGAAATTCTTACTTTTTCCGTCATTCGCGTTGCTGCGATTCTTTTTTTTCTGAAACCGATTGATCGACCTCAGGGAAAAAGATCGCGTCGCGTCATGTAATTGAGCCATAACCGATCATTTACATTTACGGCCAACCACAACCTTATTGTGGGACAGAACGACGAGGTTTCAATAACAATAAGAAGCGGTACTTTAGAGACATCTTAGGTTCTCGTCTTGATTTTAGAAGTTTTAAAGAAAAATAACACAGATGGTTCGTTAACTTTGGTTCAATGTACAATGTGATCCTTGAACTTTTAATATGTTCAATATGGTCCATGAACTTTAAATTTGTTCAGTATAGTCCCTAAAATTTTATTATATATTCAGTTTAGTCCCTAAACTATATAAAAATGTTCAATGTTGTCCTTTCATTAATTCAAGTTCAGGGACAATATTGAATATTTTCATGTAATTCAGGAATTAGATTGAACATAAACCAAAAGTTTAGGGATTATATTGATCAAATTATAAGTTTGGGGACGACATCGCATATTGAAATAAAGTTCAGGGATCACAATGAACAGATTAAAAATTCAAGGACTACATTGTACATTGGATCAAAGTTCAGGGATCATGTATATCATTATCTCAAGTTTCAACCATACTACAAAAGAATGTCATGACAAGCCACGTTTGCAGAACTTTCCGATTTTATATACGTGCATAACGCTTGTTTTCGGGGGTTCTGCTTCCCCCTACTAAATGTCGTTCTAGCTTGCCACAAATATGGTTCGGACATACGAACGTTTGTTCCACGGTGATGTCTTGCATGTTATCATCCCCCCCGAAGTCCATTCCACGCGACATTCATTGATACCCACCCACCAAAACTAGCGACACCACTAGGCACGTTCCCGTCAAGCTCGCCCTTAACAACCAGTCAGCCAGCCAGCCCTACCCCGCATACTATACGGTTTTGTTCCGAGGCGCACGATAATTCCGTCCGTCCAAATCATTCTCTTCCGTTCACGAATTCGCTTAGATCCTTTTAAATCTACATTATTTGTCTATTGATGTTGAGAGTTTTTTTAAAAGGAAAATAACAGAAATGGTCTCTAAACTTTGTTCCGACATGCAATGTGGTCTTTGAACTTTTAATTTGTTCAATATGGTCCCTGAATTTTGGCACCCAACTTTTAATTTGTTCAACTTGATCGCGTAACTTTTGGTACATGTTCAATTTAATCTTTGGACTATATGAAAGTATTCAACATTGTCCCATGATCTTGAATTAATGAACAGACGACACTGAACATTTTCATTACATCGAACATGTACAAAAAATTCAAGAACCACATTGAACAAATTAAAAGTCTAGAGACCAAAATGTACATTGAGTTAAAATTTAGGGATCACATTTAATCACATTACACGTTGAATCAAAATTTAAGGACATTCCGTGTCATTATTCACTTTTTAAACGGGCGAATGACGACATAGGTCGCGATCCCCGGCAACATCTTAAAGAAAACCCACGACTCGGTCCTGCAATTTCTAGGGGGCCCCACAGTGAAAGTAAATGGAAAAATTCCAAATAAGGACTTAAAGTGCTTTCATTTTCTCAAATAAGGGCCTGAAATGAATCACGTGTCAAATAAGGACCCGAAGTGCCCTCATTTTCTCAAATAAGGGACTGAAGTGAACCTTATTTTAAATAGGGGTTGAAGTGGCCATCTTAGTCTCAAAAAAGGACATGACCTCACCGGAGTCAAGGGCATTTTCGTCTTTTATTTTTTGATTTTTTTCCATAAAAAACAAACTCAAAAACGAAAAAAAAAAGCTAATGTTTTAAAAAAAAAAAACACAACAACAAGGGGAGGGCCCTCCTTGCCGGTGGCCGCCGCCCCATCTCCGGCGGGGTCGCCGGTCAGAGGCGAGGGCCTACTGGCCCTTGCCAGAGTTGGGAGACGGTCGCCGGCTAGAGGCGAGGTTCGGCGACCCACGCCCAGATCTGGGAGAGGGTCGCCACCCTCTCCCGGCTTTGGCGAGGGCCATCGGCCGGCGGCCACTAGTAGGGAGAGCTAGCTGCTAGCCCTACCAACCCTCTCTTAATTTTTAATTTAACTTAAATTATGTGTTAAAATTTTTTTTGGACGAAAATGCCCTTGGTCGGCCGGAAAATTTGGCTGGCCGGTGGGGTGAGGCCTTTATTTGAAACTGTTATAGCCACTTCAAGTCCTTATTTAAGAAAATACAGGCACTTCCGGCTTTTATTTAACACAAAATTTAATTCAGGCTTTTATTTGATAAAATGAGAGCACTTCGAGTTGTTATTTAGAATTTTCCCAAACTAAAACGTACCCTGGTTTTTCCGTAATTATCTCCAAGTCCAGTGGCACTTACCAACCCATTCACCTTATAATGATCCTCCCCACTCAATTCTCTCTCCTTGAAGACAATTTTCTCGCTCGCGCAAACTCCCGTCGCCCCCACTAAAGCTCGCTTTTCTTGCTCCTTCCCTCCCTTCCTCCACTCACCCTCACTCGCTCCCTCATTTTCCTTCGCTTTCCCGGAAAAAGGAAAAGGAAAGGAAAGGAAAGGGAAGGAAGAAGGGAAGGGATGTCGTCGGACTTCGGGAGCTCCAACAAGATCCGCCGCATTGTGACGATCCGGCAGATGCTGCGGCGCTGGCGCAGGAAGGCCGCCCAGGCGGCTTCGTCGTCGGTCGCCGCGCCGCCCCCCGACGTCCCGGAGGGCCACGTGGCGGTGCTCGTCGGGGGCGGGTGCCGGAGGTACGTGGTGCCCGCGACGCACCTCAACCACCCCGTCTTCCGGCGCCTCCTCTCGCGCGCCGAGGAGGAGTACGGGTTCGCCAACCACGGCCCGCTCGCCATCCCCTGCGACGAGGCGGCGTTCGAGGAGATCCTCCGGGCCGTCTCCCAGGCCGAGGATCTCCAGCGGTGCTGCCACGTGGGTCTCCGGGGCGGCGGCGGCGGCCCCCACGGCATCTTGGGAGAGTCGCGGCCGCTGCTCAACGGCGTCGCCGACTGAGGTTGAAGTTTCCCGAGAGGCGCGTGGGCTGAATTTTCCGTGACGATCTTTCTTTTTTCTTCCATTTTAATGTTCCTTTTTTTTAAATTTTCTTTTTATTTTCTTATTTTAGTGTGATGGATGGGCTTGTTGAGTAATTTTTGGTTCTTCAATCAGAAGCTCTGGTAGGATTAGTTGGTGAAAAGACTTGAAGAGGTGGTCAAGATCTGTTGTAAATTCAGTGGTTGGACTAATTGTAGGAAATCTCGGACGATATCGAATTAGTTGAAGAATGAATTATTATGTTTTTAACCAAAGTCTGTCGTGTTCATAATTTTTGGAACGTTGTTATCATAATTATCGATCATTGAATTTTGAATCGGGAGGTTACGGTGGTATTTAACTGCTTTAAATCGAAATCTTTTATTACCCTAATTTTTTTTTTATGGATTTCTCTTTCCTTTAATTTATGAGTTCAAACTTGCCAAGTACTAGGCAATTACAAAGATCCCGAAAGAAAATTGTCAAATCGGAGAAATTTGAAAAAGGTATTGGGATCCCGCATTGAAAATAGATAAAGAAAAAGGATAACATACAATACGCCGAAGATATGATTAATCATCATCCGGGTAATTTCACACGTCGCGTGATACTTTACCCATGATTGATTTGATTTCGAGCAGGAATAGGGTTGAGATAAGGTCCTTTCTCCTCACGGATGCGTGTGGAAAAAAAAAAAAGTGAGAAAGTGAAAGACTGCTAAATAATATGGCGACTGTCAATTGTTCTAGTAGAAGTGTAAATTGTCATACGAGTACTTGATTTGTTGTACAAATATTCTAACAGTTTGGTTAGGGGTGGTGGAATCCCTCCAATCATCGATGTCCCTCCGTGATTAGTTGGGGTCGTACGGGTCTAATTAGGTGGTTCAGACATGCCAAAGTGGAAAGCTCCCTCCATCGCCATATAACTAATGATTTAGAGAAAACTTTGGTGACGACATTTTTAGCTTACTTTTATGTTGGGCATGTTTAGGGGCTGTCTAATTATGAGTGGGCAACAAAGATTTGTTGCCTGGACTGTCTACTTTGTGAATGGGGTCTTTCGAGGGATGATAAGTTTTCTTACTACTAAAGTATCTCCTTTCTATGATGATCCAGCCTAAGACTCCACAAAGCATTTGAGATAAAAAACACAAAAGTGAATTGATTTGATGGTAGAGTGTGCGATTAGATTAAAGGGCCTAGCGCAAATAAGGATAGTGATTAGGTATAATATTAAGGTTTAATATCACAAAAAACCCCAAATTGGTACACTTGCGACAAATTTATCTTAAACCCCAAACTGGTATACCTGTGATAAATTTACTTTTCGTTAAATTTTACAGTCAAATTGCTTAGTTAGATGATACGTGGCAGTTAACGGGTGTACCGGTTTGTGATTTTACACATGTTTACCAATTTATGATTTTTTGTGATATTAATTCAATTTAACGGAAAGTAAATTTGTCACAAATGTACCGGTTTGAGATTTTTCGTGGTATTAACCCTAATATTTATCCGAATGATGGTCATATTCTTTGACTTGCTCACCCAACAAATTTTCTTTTGCTTGTAAAAAACGTATTCTCTAGAATTAACTCGTCACGAGATCATTTTCTTACTTTGTGACGCGATTTTTTATGGCGTGGATCTCTATGTTGGATTTTATATAAATGGACGGATTCCATGAAAACGATCTTGATGTCCTCTAGCTAAGTCTGTAGAAACGAATGTGTCAAAGTCTTATCGGGTCAAAGAGGAGGTGCAATTGACGAATGGACGACTTCTAGTGGAGTTCTTTCGTGGAATCATGAAAGAGGGTTACTATTATGCCGAGCGGTGGTCACTCTTGATGATGAAAGTAACGTTGATCTTTTCTTTCCTCGAAGTTTCATTGTCAGTTTAGTTGATCTTTAGTGCGGGATTCGCTTGTTCAAATCTTTTTTTCGTTTCATTTAAATCGACCCAATGAGTCCGTTTCTAGATAACTCATTCGAAATGATATTCAGTAGCCATATTGAAAAATATGCTCGGTGGATAGTGCGAGTTTCCCCGATGGATATCTAATAGTAAGAAAAACCCGTCGAGACGGAATTGATATGGCAATTGAGATTTAGCGCCGTAAGAAAAATGGGTTTTAGATACTGGCAAATCACAAAAGAAAAAGAAAACGCAAGTATATATGCACACATATATAGTAACAATTGCTCTTGGATTAGTGATGGGTTAGAAAACTCAAAGTTTTTGATTGATCTGACAGAAACATGGTGATTGATCTAGCGACCACTATCTATTGTCCCACTTCGGTTTTACGACTTTTCGTATGATAAAAAGGAAAACAAGACAAAAGGGTGGTGGGAAGGATCAGCCAAGAGATGAACCCGCTTTTGAGAATGCGATTGCGGATGTTGATTTGTGCTACTAGGCTTTTCGACATATTGATGGAAATTATCAAGATAAGGTTCACGTACATTGCACACCATTTTTCTATCTTGAAACTGAGACCACATAGGTTGCATTCGGCCGTGACGAAATTCTCAATCGCCTCCTTTCATTTTCAGGGAAAAATTGAAAGCTTTTGTTCCGGTGGCTTTTCCCATTACTCGAGAACATAGTATCTAATGAGGGGGGAATATCGAAACTTAAAAAGAGTGGTTTTTAGCGTTCTGTGGATGTGATTATGACAGAAGGAAAGGAGAGAAAAAGCACAATTGAAAACGATATTCGATTTTGAATTTTTAAGAGACGTGATACTGAGAAGACATTGCGTGTACCACATTAGTTTTATCTTTTTCTTTTGGCTATATATAATAATTTTTTTTTTCTGATTTCACAAAATGAAGAAAGCAAAAGATTGGGAAGAATATGTTTTTCTTTTCTTTTCCGGGTTGCACATTTATTTGTTTCTTTTTATGTTTCTTCATCGTTATAGTAACCTCAACACCAAGAAGACATCAAAGAGCTCGTCCCGATTGCTGAGGTTCAATGACTGAGTTTGGGTAGTGGACCTCCAGGTCATTTTTGGACCGGGCCGAGCTGCTTGGCATCGAAATCTCTCTAATGAAATTAGAAGTAGGAGGTCAACATTTGATGTGAACTTCAATCTAGATGGTGTCTGGATTAGGCCTAGAAAATGGGTATTAAAAGATTGTTTTAGATAAAAGGAAGGTATGGATTTAGGTTCAGCGGCAAACAATGACAACCCTTTTTCGAATCTAGATTTTTGGTAATTAGGTACAATGCACTCCCCAATCTTAGCAAACTCAAAAGAAAAACCGCGTTTTCATCGACAAACTTATTTATGAGTTACGCGGTGGAGAGAACCAATCGCAATGCCGACATTTTCTTCTTCTTGGGAGATCTGGCACGAAACTCACTACTTCTTGATATTGTAATACACACACATGAATAGCTTAAAGTGGGTTAAATAGGTGTGTATGGATTTTCCAAAATTGGGTTAAATATTAATATGTTTTGGTAATAATATGGGTCGGATTGGATATGAGTCGAATCAAGTATGAGTTATTTAATTTACATTACATGAAAATGGGTTGGACCATTTTCGATCCGATCAAACCGACTCGATCCATCCATTTGATGGCCCTTTAGATGCGTGATCGATCCAATCTAGATAGAACGAGTTTTGCATGCTAATAACCCTAGACATGGGCTCCCTCGCAACATGGTCACGTGGACATCGCCTGCGCAATTATCTCCCGGCCAATAGCCTAATGCCAGGTAGGACCAGAGGGCCTACGGATCACGTGCTCCACCCGCGGCGAGGACAGTGATGCGAGGAATCAACAGAGTAGATATCAGACCACAATCCAAGACATACCAAAACAATTGGGCCGTCCCGTTCGTACACATGCATAGCATGCCATGGTGTCGTGCCATGATCAATCAATGCTAAGTGACGACGGGAACAAGATTCCTTTCCCTTCTTTGCAATGCCCATACTTAAAACGCAAAACGAAGCCAAAGAAAAGAATTGCGAGGTTTCGCGACATTGCATTGCATTGCATGGGGCACAAGACTCGTACCGTGTTATAGCAATGTGTACTTGTCTCTTTCTTTCACCTTTTGCTAAAGCTTTTGCATTTTGGCTGCTTCCTTTCGATGGCTTTCCTAGCCCTCAGAAGGGCAATTTTAGAAAGAAAACAGATATGAAATTCGAAGAGAATATTCCTCTACGAAAGCGACATTTCCTACCTAATTTATGCACTACCACGTTTAATTTGAATAGCATCGACTTTTTAGATGCACAATCCCTCTTGTTGTTCTCGATTTTAAACTAGATTATAACATGGCTAGGAATTGACGAGTCAACAAATTAATCAAAGAGAGGTGGTCACTAAGCCTAAGGTAGCGAATGATAACCAATTACTGTTCAGGAATGAGTTACGAGCAGAAATAGATTTTTCATTTCAGTTGCGGATGGTTACGAGAAAAAAGCGTTTGATAATGGCCAAAAATTTTATTTACAGGAAATCAGTTTGATAACAAGACAAAATTTCTATTTCGCGAAATAAAAAGCCGTTTGATAAACAACGAAAATTCTATTTCCAGGAACAAAAATCCATATTTTTAGAAATGGAATAAAAATAATAAAAAAATCCAAAAAATTCATAAAAATCTTTAAAAAAATTCAGAAAATCCCAAAAAATTGAAAAATTCCAGAAAAAATCATCAAAATGTCGAGAAAATAAAAAAAATTTAGATTTCGGGAAAATAGGAAATTTGTTGAATTTTTTCAAAAAAAATCAAGAAATAAAAAATTTAAAGCTTATGAGAATTGCTTAGAATCACTTGTGCGCCACCCACTTTTAGTGAAATTTAAATTTTTTAGGTGCTAAAAAAATCAAAAATCAAAAATTTCAAAGCTTTAGAATAGTTTAGAATATATGTGTACCCACTTTGAGTGAAATTTAAATTTTTAAGGTGCTAAAAAAATTCAAAAACTCAAAAATTTCAAAACTTTCTGAGAATGGCTTAGAATCGCATGTGCCACTTTGAGTGAAATTTTAATTTTTGGAGGTGAAAAAAAAGCAAAAATCAAAAATTTCAAAACTTCACGGAATGACTTAGAATACATGTGGCCATCCACTTTGAGTGAAATTTAAATTTTTTAGTTGAAAAAAACATAAAAAATCAAAAATTTCAAAACTTCATGAGAATGACTTACAATACTCTAGCCACCCACTTTGAGTAAAATTTAATTTTTTTAGATGCCCAAATGGTATTTTGGATTTTTTTGATTTTTTGTTCCTAAAGAA